CACACCCCCCCACCCCGGTTCGTAATCATACATAAAGAAAATACGAAGAATACTACAGTATAGAAAGAAAAAAAAAACAGCAAGTACCAAACGATACCTGTGATATACCGACATACAACATCAATCGTATCGTATCGCACGATTCAACACGAGAACGATAGCTTCCCTCAAGCACAAGAGCCCTCATGACAATTACGGGTGCTCCCTTAACAATTTGCGGTGCTATATACATACACACACACTCTCTCACTCTCAAAATCAAACCCACCCCTAAGAATCGAAAAAGTCAAAAAGCTCTATCAATCAATCAATCAATCTCTCATTAATTAAGCACCTAACAAAGCTACGAAAAAAACCCCCCATTTCCATCCACCACCAACCATCCACAATCTTAAAAAACAGAGAAAAAGAAAAAGACATTTCTAGCTTGAAATCATCTAGGGAGTCTAAAAACTCAACCAGTGTATGTATACCATACCACCGATATCTAGCAAATCCTTCAGTCCAGCCAGCGTCTAATCATCTACCCACTGATATAGGCAGAATCTAATTCTCAGCATGAAAAAAAAAACGCAAGGAGAGAAAGAGAATAAAAGCCTCCAAGCGAGCAAGAAAAAGAAAAGAAAGGCAAAAGAACAAATGACCTCCACCGCCGACCGCTCACTGAAAAGAGCAAATGAACAAACACCACAGCTCTCCCATCCCCATAGGTGTACAACCATTGATGCTTCAAAATTCCGCCCCTGAAAAGAGAGAGAGATCCGAAAACGCTGTCGCTTGCAAGAAATTACTCCTAAGAATGCAAGCCGAGCTCCAAGTTGTTGACCACAATTCTAAAGTATGACCTAAATATTCACTCCTTAACATCCGTCTCAATTCACAGCTCGCAATCTCGGGCGCTTGCTCTGGATCCACTCGTTGCACCTGTGAAGCTCGCACCTCGAGAAGCATCCTGCGAACTGCCGCCACGATCGACGGAAATGCCTTCATCAACGATGTTCTTCTTTCGTTTTTCAACCTTCTCCAGTTCTTCATCTTGTCTAGCAAGAATCTCCTCGCTTTCCTCTGAAGAGATGTCCTTCTCGGTGTTGCCTAGATTTCGATACTTTCTCTTTTGCGGTACTCGGGCAAGCCAATAGAAATAGAAAGCCCCACAAATATTAACAAGAATGAAAACCCATATGATAGCAAAGCTTCGCCATCGGTTGGCATATTCAATACCGAAAGTTTTCAGGAAGGTACTAGAAGCACTTAGTGGACAATAAGCGCAATCAGTGATGGCATCCGGATTTTTAAGGTAACCGCCAGAGTATTTGATAAAAGACTCCATGTAGGAAGAACAGGTGGCTCCATTTGGTGGCTCAAAATGAAGTAACTCAATGCCTGAACAACGAACCTCTGCATTCGCTAGACTGACCGAGAGAATGGCGCCGACAAGATAGTTGTATGGGGATACTCGGTACATGAAGATCCAGAATCCAGGAAGAGCATCTGGTGCTACAAGAATACTAAATGACAAAGTCAGTAAGCACGATGCGACACAAGGAAAAAGATTTGGCTATCTACCCGCAGAATATGAGTGAGAGCATGAATAGCAGATTGGCATAATTTCCCGCCATGGCCGCCAAGTCGACTCCAGCTTGCATCATATGCGCAAAAGTACTCATATACACTTTGAAGAGTCAGCAATGTATGTAGACAGATATGAGGAAAACTCACTCATGTAGCCCCAAATAAACAACAGAATTACGACGCTATTGGTAGCCATGAGGGCAGTGGTGGCCGAATTACGATAGAATCCAATAGGGAAATACCAAGACGCAAATATGAAGATTGACATCAAAGTATTCCACGGAATCTCTACAAGGATGTTCGACAGAATAAACACTTGCCAGGAGTATGTTTTGGCGGAGCGCTCGCGAGCTTCGAAAATTGTTCTTTGGGCAACAAAGTTTGGCAGAATTTGTGGAACCAGGTTTGCAGCTTGCGTACTAGAAGTAGATTTGTTAGCGGTGCCTCAACAAATATACTTCAAAACTCACAGAAGCATAAAGATGCTGAATATCTGATTCTGTAAACCCTGTAAAGAATTATCTGTTTGGTAGAACGAAAAGCCGAGGAACAAGGACTGTAGCGCGTTAGAAAGAAGAGTCAAATGACTGTAGAATCTCGTACCGTCAAGAGAGAAAGGGCAATCTTGGAGTATATGTAAGAAGGTGTTCTCCAATATTGTATATTGACTCGCTTAAAGCATTCCCAGAGTTGTGCGGAGAAAGGGGCAGCAAACTCATCAAATTCATGATCGTCGTTGACTTCTTCAGCGGGAATCTTTCGATGAGCTCGAAGTTCCATTGAATCCAACTCGCTATGAACGCGTGAATACTCCGGACTATTTCGCCAAACTTCAGGCCAGTCAATGGTGCTGTGGTGACCGGGAGCACAGCCGAGAACCTCCATAATCCACTCTGCCGGGTTACCGTTAGCGGGGCATTCCTTTGCTCCATTGCGTTCAAAATAGCTAATGACAGTTGTAGCGCTTGGGCCAATGTCTCCGAAGTAAGCAGGTCTACCGTTTGGCGCAAGTAGGAGAAGGCGGTCGAATCTTTGGAACAGGACCCCAGACGGTTGATGGATGGTGCACAAAATAGCTTGGCCGTGTAGGTTCAATTTCCGAAGGAGGTCAAGAATAACCCAAGAAGTCTGACTATCTAGTCCGGAAGTTGGTTCATCAAGGAACAAGAGTAGCTTTGGTTTTGCAGCGAGTTCAACAGCGATATTCAATTTCTTTCTCTGTTCGATGTTGAGTCCTGCCACAAACGTCAGTACAAAGTTTAATTCCGAAATCGTGCGAACCATCTTTTGTACTTACCTTCACCGGGGACACCGACGATTGCATCCGCATAGTATCCCATTTCCAGCAGATTGATGATAGTGTCAACGTACGCGAGTTTATCCTTTCTGGAAACATTTCGTGGCTGGCACATCAGAGCGTTAAATTGAAGAGTCTCACGAACCGTCAAAGTCTCCAAGTAGACATCTTGTTGTTGAGAATACCCAGTCTTCCGCTGAAAGGATATGTCTCTGCTTTGTCCGTCCACAAGAGCTGATCCAGATGCTGTACCGGCGGTATCACGGGTAGCCAAGACGTCCCTGTTGATGGTCAGAATAGTAGGAGGGAAGTACAATAATGTGTTACTCACAAAAGTGTAGTCTTGCCTGCACCAGAAGGGCCCTGATAGAAACTCGTTAGTAGAAGCACTCATGTTTAAGCAGAGTTTTGCACTGGTTTGAACAGGCAAGAGGAATGAGGGCATGTCAGAGTGAAGAATCAGTCATCCAAACATACCATCAGTGCCGTCAAGGTCCCTGGTTTCACCCATCCATCAACATGATCCAGAATTCGACGTTCCTCTTTCTTCACTTTGATGTCGTAACATATATTTCGCCAATGAAATATAGAGGTCTGTTTATGGATGAAAGCAGAAATTCGTCTCGGTGTGTTAGATAAGTGGGCTGAACTTCTTGGGGATGACGTACGTGATAAATGCTCCAAGTCATCTTTCGCGTTGTGCGTTGGCCGTAAACCCCGAGGAAATAGAAGAACTTCTCCCTTGGGCTTCTTTTCCGTGATATATTCACTCGCAAATAAGTACGTGAATGTGAAAAACACGAATATCGCAAGAATTATTGCCAGGTTTCTACCAATTCTCAGCATCCAGTTTAGATCGTAATTTCTGAAGACTTACCTCCATAGGTTCGAAGCGTTATAACTATAACCAAGTCTAATAAACTCCGTTCCGGAGGCTACATTCGACCCAGCAACAGCACCGACAACGGCGCAGATATGATTCAAAGGCCCAACACCCTGATACTGTGGTCCGCTGGGCACGAAATTGCTACATGGAAAATGGCGTCCGTCAAATTCGTTGATCATCAGACTTTCGAAAGCGTAGGCGATGGGGTCGATGAAGTTGATCCAGCGGAACCAAGGAACCATTGTGTTGATTGGAATGACAAAACCAGTGTACACCATGAGAGACAAGATGAATAGGGCGGCCGGTGCGAGGGCTTGCGCAAGAGTTCGCGAGCTAGCCCCAATAGTTCGAAATACCATTGAGAGCGCCAAGGTAGTTGAAAACGAGAACGCCAGAAATGTAAAAAAGGCGCCAGGTTCTCGTCTCAGGCCAGTCATTAAGTACAAAAATAGATTGAATGAAATGGAATTGCAAATTTTGTAAGGCAGGTCTACGATTGCACTAGCGGCCGCCTCTGCAAAGGGGTGACAGAAAGCATATCTGGCGTGTTTTTCGGTGATGGGGCGTTGTTCGTAAAGAGTTATAAGCTAGTTCACTCAGCTGAGTTCCAATACTAACTTCAAATTGCTCTCATGGTCTAGTGACTTACCTCGAGAGAACTGGAAAAGGCATTGAGAAGAATGGCAAAGAAGAGGCATACGGGTCTAGAATAAAAGCTTCCAGTATTGTTTTTAAGATCGTAGAAAATGCTCCCTATGCTATCTCAGTACTGGATCCAACTATATGTTACCACTTGGAATATGCTTACCGACAATCAGTGCCAGGACGCTATTGCCGATGATATTGGAAATTGTTACGCTTGCATCGCCTTTCAATCTTTGGAATCCGCGAGTTACACACCAGGAAACCTGCTGGGATATTGACATAGTATAAGAAGAACCGACATGTCTGGGACCTCTTAGTAAATCGCAGCTGATTTGATGGTGCAACTTACTGATGTTCCGATTGTCTGAGTCGTCTTGCTGCCTTGAATTCATCGACCAATTTGCCACCAATAGGGAATTTAGACTCGTAAGTAAAGATGGTCTTTCTTAATCTCTTGTAGGCGGGGCTCCTTTTCCATGCAAGAACAAACTCATCGGGAGTTCGAGGTGTTCGGTGTTCAAAGCCTGGTCTAACTCGACGCTCGGAGGGATTTGTCAAGGAGGTCAAGAAGTCAGCAGTGGTCTGCCGAGGCATGCATTCAAACCCCATGTTGACGAAATATGCTTTTGCCTGGTGGCTCTCGCCAAAATAGATTTGCTTCCCCTCATAAAGAACCGTGACCTTGTCGAAAAGCTGGGTTTGTGTTAGCAGCAAGATCCAAGGATTGGATATTCCGCCTTCTGACCTCGTACGTATCTTCTGAGCCTTGATACAGTGAGACTAGTATGGTGGAATTGAACATGTCTGCCGTAAGTCTTAGATTCTTACAGAATTCCAAAGCGTTTGCAGAGTCAAGGCCTCTCGTCCTGAGCAAGGCCTCAAAATCAGTACAGGTTCACAAATATCAGAAATCACTCTCTAGCGGAAGATAGCCCTAGCGATTGGAGAACAGGTAGAGAACAAAAGAAGAAACAGGAATTGACTTACGAGTTATCCCAACACTGGATTGGACTACCGCTCAACATTGCCTCTGCGATACTGACACGCTTGGTCTCCCCACCGCTAATGAAAGCAACCTTCGTATCTTTTGTGTGCATGATTCCAAAGGTCGCCATCATGACCTCCGTCATGTGCTCAGCATATTTCTTTCTAGTCACTCCTGGAAAGGTAAAATCCCGTGGAGCTCTTGCCATTGCTGCGTTCCATAAAGTCTGTCCGACTGTGAGCGAGTTGATGTGTACGTCGTTTTCAGCCATATAGATCGCTTCGCCTCTGAACTGTGATTGCATTTGTTTGGCGGTGATGCCTCTATAGTTGAGACTGGAATTTTCGGCAACAAAGAAGCCTTTGGTGTCGCCAGATATGGTCTTGAGCAGAGTTGAGCATCCTACAAAGTATCAACATCTGATTAGCGATGATCATAAAATTGTGCGTGACAAATTTGTGGGGCATAGAAATGCTTTTTGCTTACCACTTCCTGGCCGACCAAGCACCAACAACATCTCACCACTTTCAACCACGCCATCAAAACCCTGTAAGATCTGGACCTTTTCCTTCCGCGACTTGCTGAAACAGCGAAAGATCTCACCCAATTCCAAGATAACATTGGACACCGTCTTCTGATAGTCGGTTGGTGATCCAAAGCCATGGACGTCAAGATTTGAGAAACAGACACTGAGACGGCTAGTTTCATATGCATACTGAGCTGGATCTTGCATGATGAAGCCGACTAGGTTTGTAACCCACTTTTGTGCATTGAAGGATTCACATTTTGGATTCAAAGGAGAATCGGCAGGGAGATCAAGGAATGGGTTAAGAGGGTTGTCGTATGTGCCGACCATGCCTTTCGCAGGAAATTGGGAAAGAGCCAAGTCTTTTGACTCCAATGGGGTAAACATATCCATTTCGCGGATCGGTGTCATTTCGTGGATCTCCATGTCGTCTTGGATATGACTACTACTCCTATGGCGGCGTGGCAGATGTTGGACGGACAGGTTGGTTGTAGTTGATTGCGAGGGCAAAGCTGGTTCCGATCTCTGCCGACTGAGGGTCTGTGGTTCTGGCAGAGGGTCATTCAGGAGGGCAGCTATCGTCTGAAGCGCATCATCATAATCCATGATGCCCTCCTGTAAACTGAGGTTTGCGTTGAGGTTTAGAAGGTGGCGGTGGTTGTGTTCATGTAATTTGAGAAGGTGGTGGTTGACTTGGAGAAAACGTGTCGAGGGGATTGTTGACTTTGTCGGTGGGGATGGGGAATTAGACCGAACGGGCATATTCGGTGGTGGGGGACGCGCCTGCCCGTGTCTGTGAAGGTGACGACGAAGGGTGAAAGGCACGCAAATGGCAGGCAGGAAGGGCAGTTTCCTCGCTTAAGGGACATTGGACAGAAAGCGCATTCCAGCATGCAGAGAGAGTGGAAGGGGAAAGACCCGTTGGCTAACTTCTTTACTCTGGGAATTTGAAGTGAAATGGTAATACTAAGCTGCAGTCTTGGTATGGGAAGCATGGTAAGGATTCTAGAAAACAGCTGCACCAGTATCGAGGGTCAACTTGGGTACTCGAGGGGCCTGCAGTGCCTGCAGTGCAATCGGCATGTAAATAACATGCCACGCCAATGCATGCGAGGTAGGGAAGCACCCGTTGGTAGGAGGCTGCTGGATGCGTCTGCATATGGCAAAGAAATCCAGTTACCAATTCCTGGGGAACTGCAGGTCCCCAAGCCTTGCCATGCAGCCACCCACTCATCTACTTAGTACTTACTCTGCCTGGGTAGGGAGCAACTAACACGATTGGGAGACGTACCCCTCCTTCGTTCCGAACCCTTTTCAGACCATCATCGGGTACGAGAAGAGCGTTACCTCGGGCCATCTACATTATCATGTGTATAGCTGATAGGAGAACTATCAGTGTACTCGCTGATACGAGCCCTCTCGGAGGACGAGGTGACCGTTGCTCACGATACACCAGCCGGCCGTGGCCGTGGCACAGGCACAGCGTGAAGATCGCGTTACACCACAGCTCGGCATCTGTCGACTGAGCGAGAGGACTGGAGATTACTAAAGCTGCACCTTGCCTCGCTGCTTGGCTTCCATTGATCATTGACTTCGCTGCAAGTTTTGATTGGCAAAGTGGAGTTCGCTCGGTACTACGGAAGGATGTGTTTGAATAGTTTCCTCAGGCGGTACACGATACTGCGAGCCCAACGCCCACGAGAAGAAGAAGAGACGCCTGAGCAGTGTGGACAGCAGTGGTGGACCGTTGCAGTGTATGCAATGTACTGTATGTAATATATGAGATCTGCAGATGTGAGGTTGGCGGTGCATGTAGGTACGTAGGTGCAGCACCGTGCCGCTACGCTGCAAGATAGACCACAACGTGTCAGATGTATGACCTTCGGACATTAGCAGACGTAGACATAAATAGGTCAGCTAGTCCCTGGTGGGAAAGTAATTTGACGGGGGGTTGGTGTTGTTACGGAATACTCTGAGTGGGAGTTGACGTTGGATTAACCTCGCGCCGGAAAAACAGACCCGCCGAAATTATATATAGTATCTTCGAGTCTGCACACACCGCACATGATTATCTCATCTACATTTCAACACTTGATCTACACTTTCTCATCCATCAAACCATTTTTCAGCCATGGAGGACCAGGCAAAGGTATATTTCTCGTCGAAATACTTTATTTCAGGAGTATTTGTGGGCATTCAAGAAGTTTTCTTTCAAGTGATCCTTCCAACTTACTTGAGTACTGTATAAGGGGCCAACAAACTCATGGAGAGACACGTTTCTACCTTCTGGGGAAACCAAGGACTACATCATCATAGCTGGGGATCAGATTGCTTCCAACCTATTTTTGTTGCAGAGAGGTAGAATAAGCTTCAAGTCCCTCTAGTGGAGTCCACGTCCAATGGAAGCTTCAAGGTTGGAAAAATATGAAACACACGTGACCAGTACCAACGACATGACATGTCTTGATTTGTTGTGTTCTACTATCTGAATATTCACCATTTCATTACTTTCAATAGAGTTCCTTCAATTTCTTTGAGGGAATGCTTGTCAAATCCACCAGCGCTGATTAGTGCAGTGTAGCGTCACGCAATGTTCAACGTGAGAAGCGATAACAACAATACATGCACCTGCACCTGCCATCAGTAGGTACCAGTATGATTTTCGTTTGGGTGGCACCTACCCTGTAAGACACAGTCAATGGGACTCAGACTGAGACTTGGTACCTACTACCTACCTGCATCTAGGCAGGCTTACTCTGTACCATTACCAGCGCAAGCACAAGCGACAGCTCTGGAACTGCAGGTGGAGGGAGGTCTCTCCTTTCCCTCGCCCTTTTCTCCAACTCTCTCAAGTTTGCCAGTCCCAGTCTACCAGTCTACCAATTACAAAGCCCTCCACCCCACCTAGGTACTGTCCATCAAGGTGCCCAAATTCAGATTCAGATTCAGTTGGAACTTTTCAACACTCTCTCCTCTTCTCCCCGCCCCCCCTAATTGGGTCAACCATCCAACTTTTGCTTTGAACTGATTCACCTTCACCTTCAATTCATCTGTCAACTCTTGTGCAACATCTTCCAATCGCTTCTGCAATCAACTGTAATCTTCTTCATTCAAGAACCAGGATTTCAATATTTCGTGTCAATATCCACCGAACCCATATTCTCCAAACTCACGCCATTCCATCCATCCAATTGGAAGTTTCTTTCTTCATTCACGTTCGCCATCTCGCGTGGTCGTGGCTTGTGGGTCGGCTTCATCGCTTTTCGCATCGGTCGTCTCGTCGTCTCAACAACGTCGCCAAGAAGATCTCAGCAACCATCAAGGTCCTCCTCTCTACCAAGCTTTTATTTGTCCCTTAGCAACACCATTACCGACCCAATCAACATCGTAAAGTGCGACCGATTTTCCGCCATTACCCATATCAGTATCCGATTGCTTATGTATCGCCATACCAAACATTGAGTGGACCGATCTGCCTCCCCTTCTGGCAGGCTTGGAACTTGTTGCGCCATCATGCAGACCCTCGCAGCACTGTTCACTTTTTCCCTCCTCTGGGTTCTGCTGCCACTCGCTAACAACATCCGCAAAGCAAGAAGCACTGGTCTGCGATACGTCGTTGTGCCATGTTTTCTCTACAATATCTTGACTGCGAAGCTCTTCAAAGTGACTGTCCTACGTTTGGTTGACCAGCTACTCCCTGCCCCCACTCTCTCATCATGGCGCATTCTCGTAACTTCTCTATGGCCACTCAAGTATGGACATGCGCCCTTCAAAGAACTTGGTACCGACTCCGTTCTCGTCGTCGCGCCCGGTGGTAATATTCTATACACCTCGGATGCCCACGTTGTGTCGCAAATCATGTCTCGAGGTAACGACTTCCCTAAACCCGTGGCTATTTACAAGCAGATTGATATCTATGGAAAAAATGTCATCTCCTCCGAAGGCAACGCCTGGCGCTATCATCGCAGACTGACACGACCTGCATTCTCGGAGAAGAACAACCAGCTGGTGTGGAAAGAGACAATTGATTTGAGTGGGGCCATGGTATCCAAGCTTCAAGGCCTTCGCAGCGGTTCCACGACCGTCAAGAATGCAGGGGACGATATGATGCGATTGAGTCTGGAGGTTCTGGGACGCGCCGGTCTAGGGGACAAGTCTGCTGGCTTTACCTCGTCATTGGAATACGTTAGCGTACACATTGTTTCCATCATGGCTTTGATGATGTTTCCGAAGTGGATCATACAAAGAATTCCAGCAATGGTGGTTCGCAGATTACTCAAGGCCTATGAGGACTGGAAATCCCAGATGCAAGCGATGATTCGTAACCGAAGGTCTGCCATTCTCACTGGCGCATACGAAAGTGTCAACACAGACTTGATCAGCCAATTGGTCAAAGGACATTCGCCTAACACTGGGCCCCAATTGGCGCAACCACTCGCTCTAAGCGATAGCGAGGTTTTGGGTAACTTGTTTGTTTTTATGGTCGCGGGTCATGAGACGACTGCCAATACTATACATTTCACCTTGCTCCAACTTGCTCTCAATCCAAAGATTCAGCAGAACGTCCAAAAGGCTCTCGAGGATATTTTTCAAGGTCGTCCGCCCGCAACCTGGTCATACGAACATGATTTTCCGCGTCTTATGGATGGGTTTCTCGGAGCAGCCGTTCGCGAGTCACTTCGAGTTATATCCCCGTCATTGACCTTGCCTAAAACTACTCATCGTCCACAACAATTGAATATTGATGGTAAGGAGGTTACCCTACCTGCAAACACCTTGATCAGAGTCTGCGTTCCTGGTGTGCACAGAAATCCTCGCTACTGGCCATATGGTCCCCGAAAAGACTCCAAAGGACCCGACTCCCCTCTCAATGATGCCGCTAATGATCTGGATGAGTTCAAGCCTGAGCGCTGGATGGCTGGAAAGGGGTCGCCAGGAAAATCCGATGACGGTAGTGATTCCCAAAGTTCTGGCAATTCATCTTCCCGCACCACCACCAAATCGGAAACAAGGCAGAAACCACCCAAAGGAGCCTACATTCCCTTTAGTGATGGCCAACGTTCATGCCTTGGGAAACGGTTTGCGCAAGTCGAAATGATGGCTGCTCTGGCTGTCATTCTTTCCGAGTGCACTGTGGAGCTGGCTGTAGATGAATGGGCGACCGATGAAGAAGTTGTGTGTATGACCACCGAGGAGAGAAAGTCTGTGTGGCAAAAGGCTAGTGAGAAAGCCGAGATGCACCTGCGAGAGAAGATGACTTGCATCATCACCGTGCAGCTTGCCAAGGGATATTACATACCTTTACGATTCGTCGAGAAGGGATGTGAGCGATTTCGAGAAGTATGACCTTTTCTACTGTTCCAACTTTAACTTTCATGAAAGCGGTGGTGTTTTACGAGTTCGGCATTGGTGGCGGTGTGTATGGGCGCTTGATCTGATGACGATGTTATGAAAATTGGGGGTTGGGGGAGAAGAGGGGAAGAGGGGAAGAGATTTTATTTTCACTAAGACATGGGCAAGTGGAACTCTGTATAGTGAGTGGGTGGGTGGGCCACATTGGTTCTAGACACTTTTCACCATTTTTTTATTTTCCGGGGAGGGATTATTTTCCACATAGAGACTAGACCTTTCCAAGACTTTTCTTTAATCTTTACTAGAAGATGGATACTGGGGGAAGGGGGGACATAAAGAAAAGTACAGAACTAGTTCGTTACTGGTTCACCTCTTAGATTTCAGGTTTTTAGACCTGGGATAAGGGAGAAAATTAGATAGATCTTGTATCTGGCATGATGGATGGAATGGAAATTGAATGGAAATGAAATGAACTGAATTAAATGGTAGATTGAGGGCTTATTCTAATTCGTCTTTGATGGGTGAGTGTGAATGAATGAAAGAATCTCCTCGTTCTTCTATCTATCTTTCTTTTCAGTTGTCTTTGGGTCATGATATGATGCGTAGGGATGAGATCCAATCCTGTTTAATTAAGTTCAGTTTTATCCAATTGTTCTCTGCTTCTTTCTTCCTTGTACGGTTGACATTTCCGTTGTCCTGTCCTGAGTAGCTGATGGGTGACTAGGTGATTGGGGTGACTAGGTGATAGAGTTATTGAATCATTGAATCGTGGATATAGGGGGGGGCTATTGTGGCATTTAATTGAATTGAGTTAAAGAGATTAAGAGCAATGAATCATGGGGAAGCGTATGAAGACCTTACTAGGACCGAGATTAGGATTCGGTAATCTTACATAAATCCTTCTCCCCTCACCCCTCCACCCCTTCCCTTCCCTTCCCTTCCCTTCCCTTCCCTTCCCTTCCATACTACCGAAGAAATCCTACACAACTACTTAACATTCACTATTTCACTATAGGCATCAGGAAATTACTCGTCTTCGGACACGCACGCGTGTATGTATTATATCACTCACGACGGTCTATCGAGAACCTTTTTGGGGTTCTTTCTTGGGGTTTTGATATTTGGTTGGTGACATTGGGGGCTTTTTAGGGATGAGGGGGTGGGAGTGAGGGGTGTGGTGTGGGTTAGTGTGTGGGTTGGTGTGTGGAGTGTTGTGTGTAGTACGTTGGAATTTTGTGGATTGGGGGATTGGTGGTGGGTTGGTATGTGGGTGTTTATTAGTATGGATTTGTTTTGTTAGGGGTTGGAGGGTTGGAGGTGATGTAGGGGATATAAGTGGTTTGGAGGGGATGTGAGATAGGTTAGGTAGGTAGGTAGGGAGGGAGGGAGAGGAGAGGTGGTGAGTAGGTATAGACTTTACTAAGTACTAAGTGGAATACTTGTGGTTGTTTCCTTTTTCGCAAGTCTTTATGGAGGGTGGGGGGGGAATGTCTAGGGACTTGGGTTTGGGTTTGGGTTTGGTTTATTGGGTTAAAGATTCTATTATAACATCACATACTATCTCCTCAGTTCCGCGATTCAGAATTCTGTGGTATGATATACAACGTCCAGCTCAATATAGAGATAGAGATAGAAAATAAACTGTATACTGTAAAGCAACCCCACAGCACATGACACACACCCCCCTGCGACCACCCGAGACAGCCCTTCTCTTGGTGCTACCTACTTTTGCAAAGAACCTACCTAGACTTACCTCCTCCCCGCCCCGCTCCTTTCAACGACATGACATTACATTACTCAGTCCTCAGTACTCGTATCACTACTTCCCTACTACATTATGTCTTCATACCCCTCCCATTCCCCCCTCTCTGACCGCCGTTCTTGAGCTCCTTCCTGAACTGCTGTCTGGGATTTTATAGTTCGTTTTGTCTCGTCTTGTGTTGTGTTGACGCGGGGATTTTAGCATGGGATGGGATGGAGTGTGAGGATTCTGTGCTGTGGTGTAGTGTGGTGTTTATTGTTAGTGTACTACTGGTTTTTTTCTCTTATAAAGGGAGGGGGGGCGGAGTGGGGGGAGAGAGGATGAGCTATGGGATTTAGAAACTGGTGATAGGGATAAAGATGGAACGGGTTGTTATATATTACTAAGAATCTCACAACCTCTCTTCTAGGGTATCTAATTTGACGAAGATCTGAGAGCTTGGATACCTGTAGCTCTAGCGACGTGGAAACAAATAAATGGGGATATTTCTAGTATAACTTACTACTTTCCTTTCTTCCTTTCCGTATACGCATGTGTATATATTCCATTTTTAATTTGGTAAGTATTATTCAGGATATTTGGTTTTGTAAAAGCTTTGAGTCTTTAGTTCTTAGGCGAAGGACTTCAGAATGCCAAAATAGCATAAATATACGAAGCCTGCCTCTCACACTCACTCTCTTCCAAAACCACCTATTCCACCCTCACCACATCACGCAACCTCTCAATCACAAGGTCAAACATACTTCTTTTTGATACTCTACATTACACGCATATCCACTTGTTACTATACCCCCTCTCCCTCCTCATTCCCCTCAGTATCCTCAGTATCCTCAGTATCCCCTCTCCCTTCCCCCTTCCCCTTCCCCCTCTCCCTCTCTCATCCCTAAACAATCCCCAAAAAACGTGCAAACACCCCTTAAATTCCCTGGAAAGGTTTCAGAACAAATCTTCTACGCGGTAGAAAATCGTGCAGCGACGTTGTGCACAGTACAGTATTGTGATACAAAGACCAATATGCGTTTATTGTGTCACCTTACTAGTTGGAAAATGCCGTGGAATGCGATGTGCTGTTTGAAAGGTACTGTATAGTGTCCAGATTTCTCTGCAGGTTTTGTGTGACGACGTTAAGATCTGGGGAGGGGGTGAGACATGATTTATTCTATCTGATGAGATATTGTCACTAGGTTATCTGAGGCTAAGGACAGATAAATGGAGTTTAAAATAAAAATATACACTAAGTATATAATAAAATAGCAACAAAAAATATCATCCACAGTACCCCTTCCAGACCAGCCCTCTTACTCCCAATCCTCCACTACTAACCAACTTCTCCCTCCTACCTTACCCCCTTCTCCCCTTCTCCCCTCCTATTCCTCTCGTTCCATTTGGCTTTTTCTGCATTACTCCATCAATCCACCAAACCAAAAAAACAATTCGGCCTCTTCCTCCCCCCCTCCCCCCGCCCCACCAATCTTTTCTCGCATAACGATCCATCTCAAAATTGTGCCTTATCCCTTTCCTTTCTTCCCTTTCTTCACTTTCTCCTCGTTCTTGATTATCTTGGTCTCTTGGTTTCTTGGTTTCTTGATTTCTTGATGTCTACAACTACCTATCTATGGCGTAAGGATGAGGATTATAGTAGACAGTTCTAACAGACGGGAGGGGCTGAAGAAATCAGGGAGGTAGATTAGCGTTTGGGAACTTGTTTTACTTTCGTTAGTACTAAGTCTGTGATATCACATTAGTGCAGGCATGTGTACATACGGAGTGTCAAATAAGCCTCTCATTGAAATGTGTAAATCAAACGTTTGTAATCTCGTACGTAGTTGCTAGAGTCAAGTACAAATAGCAAAGCGTAGTAATCGCATCGTATCATATCGTCCATCCATGGGTATTTGAAGAGTAAAAGCAACACGATATCCCGGAACATCATAATCCCCCATTCTCGAACAAAGCAGCTAAAAGCAACAGCAAATTCCACAATGGAAACTCAGATCTTCATCTCTCTTCACATCACATCGCAACAAATCCCTTCAAAAGTTCTCTCCAATCTCTTCTTGTCCTTTAGTACCACGAAAAGTCGACATGTCCCATCGCTTGGTTCTCCAAGATGTAATCGAAAGGCGTCGTTGGATTGGGATTTGGAAGACCAAGTGCAACCATAACCATGCAAAACTCGTCGTCGTTGCGGCAGGCTTTTAAATTGTCAATATCTGGAGCCCCACACATTGTTCGAAAATATGGACTGCTGCCACAGGTCATTTCGCCATGATCTTCAGCCGACTTGAAAATATCCAGCAAGACAGCCTCAAATTTCCCCTCGAGTGTACCTTTAACTTGAAGATAGTTTCTTGTGACGGGAGGCCACTCGCTTAATTCTTCGAATTCCGCGATCAAATTGGTTCTCGTCGGGGCCATGTTGCGCTTCAGGCAGGATGCGACTAGATCAAAGGTATTGACGAAGCCATGACGAAGAGATTTATTAGTCTTGAAGTTTTGTTTAATCGGCTCCGGAACATGTTCGATATGGTCTTTCATAGCGAACCACCACATATCCGCGTCGTCAACCCATTCGCTCGTAAGTTCTTGCGTCATTTCCGCTTGATAGACCAGTGCCTCCTTCATCCTCGGTGAAATGAAACCTTCGATACACTCACCACAGGCACATCCAGACTTCAACCTGGAACGATGACCTACCATGCGTTTGGCGGTGACCGAGGGTAGCGTACTGTTGATCGGAGGGAGTTTCAATAGTGCTGCTAGACACTGTACGGCCTCCTCTGGATGACCTATAAATTGATCGGACACGTCACACAAACGCATTCCACGATAAGCTCTGGTCCGCTTGACGTCGAGTTCGCTGTTGAGATTTTCGAACGGAGTGTATCCCTTCACATTTCGTGCTGTGCTTGAGCCAGCCGAATCGGCAATGTTTTCCATGAGCCATGTAGCAGTGAGTGGTTTGTGCTTTGAAGCTACAACATGCAGCAGATTGTTGCCACCTTTCTGAACTGCTTTCCAATCCGTCGAGTTAACACCGTTCTTTGCAAGATGCTTTGAGAAAGTATCGACACAATCGATATCTGCTTGGGTCATTGCTGCATGGTGAAGGGGTAGTATGGTTGCAAGCTTCTTCACAAAGATCTCTTCCTCTTTCTCGTGCTTTTTGAATGCAGCTTTGATCTCAGCTTTTTCGGCGTCGGTAAATTCCTCAACAAAAGTATCCTCTGAAGGTTCATAATCATCCACAGGGGCAATAAGATGGGACGGATGTTGCGGATCCAAGGAGAAGGCTAAGCAACTGGAAGCACCGACTCGCCGAAATCCAAGAGATTTGAAGAAGGCTTCAGCAGTCTCTGCGGCCTTCACATAAATCTCTTTTTCCTGAGAAGGGTTTTTGTCTTTGAGCTCCGGCTCAAGGTCTCTAGTCAGCCATCCCGGAAGTGTTAGACAGTGCAACTTGGAGAATTTGGGATCAGGGACACCAAAAGTTCCCTACAAAGTCGGAGAGTTCAGTTTTATGTTAATGATATATTCATGAAAATGTCAATCGTGGAGGGGTTTGAATCACCTCAAACAATTCTTTGCTCTCTGTCTGCTCCTGTGTCAAGTCTTTGTCGCTTTTGTTGTCCTCCATCTTCTTCTGAACTTTTTGAATGATCGCTTTTACCATGGTAGTTCCCAGACCCAGTCTTCGAAATTCCGCTGCTTCTCGGTAGATATGGACATATTCAAAGTGGAGGATGGGTCCGAAGTCTAGTTCGTTACCCCAAACGCCAGACCCCTTTCGTACAGGATGCGACTTAAGCTCCTCCAACAAACATGCATATCGGTTGAAGATTTTGTACGCTAGGTTTGACATATCTTGGCTTACTCCATCCATTTCTTGCCAGAAATCGGCTCTCACAAACTCGCGATAAATACGTCTGGCATGTGCATGGCCAATGACCTTGCCATCATACTTTATGTGCGCATGGTAGTCGAGAAGCCACTTCTTGCGTTCGCCATCTCCACCAAAGATAAAGAGCTCTTCTACAGGCTTGGTGGTGAAGACTTTGAGTTGGAAAATCTTATCAGGGTAACCTAGACTGGTATCAGTATTGAAAATGCGTAACGCTACCTGGGGGACCAAATACCTGGGACCACGTGTTGACTCTCCTCGACGTCTCGTTCCATATCCTCCTCGTCATCTTCGTCTTCTCCTTCATCTTCATCTTCCTCATCCTCGTCCAAGAATCCAAATCCAAGGTCCTCATCTTCACCGTCGTTGCTGAAACTCATCTCGTCTTCATCGTCGTCGCTTTCTGACTCAAGCATGGAGGAGGAATCTTGATCATCCTCGACGTAGCTCTGATTGGGTTTCGGCTTCTTAGCACTTGAGCGGTTGTCTACATCAGACTCCGTGTCTACAACTACGGCCTTGCGCTTTGGCGCAGGCGCGGATGGTTGGTCCATCTTGATGACTGGCGAGCGCGATTCCGAGTGCTCGAGAATGGAGAGGACTTAAGACGAACTGGGTGAGTCGGTACTTATCTCTTGATGAGTTGTGGCAGGGAACGTCTTGTATGAGGGAGTTGAGAGGGTTGAGAAAGGAGATGGAGAGAATGGAGAGGATGGGGAGGATTTGGGGAAGAGGACGCGAACGCGTCAAGAGCCTGCCGTCGTGTTTGCCAGTGGGAGGAAATTTGGTACGTAGACGGGGTCACTGGGGGAAGGAGCGACTTGCCAGGTGCCTTGGTGGTGCCTTCCTTCAATGACCACACCAGTTCAGCCTCAGGGATGAAAGGAAAGCATAGCCTAAGACTTTCCAAAATGACTGTTCCCATTGAATAAGCATAGGTAGACTCGCTTTACACCCAACTCCAACAATGGTATATACCCATACATAAATACTCGTAACTCACAGAAATAATCCTTCACGATTAGAAAGAATAAAAAACTCTCAATTGCATCCTAAGAAAATAAATACCACCAAATTAAACTCCAAAATCCCCCCTTCCCCCCTCAAAAAAACAACAAACCCCACCCACCCACCACATCCACCACACCCCAAAAAGGAAAAAAGAAAACCACCAAAAAGACAAAAGAAAAGGAGAACTAAAGATTATGAACTTTCCACCCCCATTAAACCCACCAAGAAGAATCATCTCTCTCGGTTCTCTGGAGATGTACATTCCCCTATCGCAGGAAAAAATCATTCTAATAAATGATATCACTCCCTTTCCCCATCAACCTAGGAAAAATCATTCTAATAAATGATATTGGACCCTCGGTCATTCTGCTGAAAAATGCTAGAATACTCTCTCCCCCCCCATTGTATTCATTCCAACAAATGAAAGCGCGCGAGATACCCTACCTACCTAGGTAGCAGTATTAGACATCATAATCTCCTCGCAGTCAAGATCAACCACTGTAACCAACTAACCTACCTACAAAAGAAAATAGAAAAAAGGCCGTCTGGCACGCGTGTACCTCCTTCCCTTCCATTAACGATGAAACAGGAACGAAGAAAGATAAACCGAAACCAGCGAAAGAAGCGCCAGATAAACCCTCCGATGCTCACTCCACTTTCCCTCCTTAAACGATACCTGCCCAGTCTCCTTGACAGTCTCAATCTCACCCTTCTGATTGTGATCCGGCAAAGGACGAGGCGTCCCATAAATAGAACTCGGATTGAACTTCCAAAGTCCCTTATGCCGACGTGCAAGCACGAGATCGACAAAGTAAGGAATGAGGGCGTTGACGTGCGGGAAGGAAGGAGCTTCATCGTCGAGGGTGAAATACCGATCTTGACAGCCGAGGAAGAAGGGAGCGGCTCTGTCTCTTATCAGTATTTTATAGGAGGGGGTATACGTATGGGGAAAGGGAGACATACTTAAAAACATCACTAAACTTCTCCGCCTCCCCCCGCATCTTCAAATCCACCGTCTTCAAATCCAGACTACTAATCTTCGAATGCAACTCCAGAATCGTGCCGATCTCTACATGCATATGCACCTCATACGGTCTCGCCATGATGGTAATCATCGCCAGCAGATGATGACCATCATAGTTATCTCGATGTGTCGTCTCGGCATACTTCATGAGTTTGGCGACGTGGTCTTCGAGTTGCAAGTGTTGCTCGATGTTGCTGTCCATCAGGCCTTTGATGCCGATGATCTTTTCCAGATCCGGGAAGTAGTGCTTTTCCTCCATGATGTGGTGGTGGTGCATGAATTCGAAGACGACGCTGCAGTAGGCGAGGAAATCGGCGGCGTCTTGGGTGCCGGGTTGGATGTCGAGGGCTTGGTGACAGATTGCGTTGAGGGCGCGGAAGATGGCTAGAGATTATTGCATTAGTCTTCTAGTATCTGAAACTGGGGAAATAGATGGATGTAAACATACTATTATGAGTCGTAGCCATGATCCTAGCATTCATGATACAATAATGATCCTGCGGCAAACCCGGCTTCGATTTCGCCCCCGTATCTCGAATGAGCGTAAAAGGTGTCTCAGGCCAAAGCGAGGTGCCGGGTAGTTTCGCAGGTCCATGGACATCAGGATGCAAATACCAATCAACCGAGCCTTTCAGAGCTTCTTCTTGGTTGGCGTGTGGTTGACCTTCCCAAGGGGTGAAGCCTAGGAGTTGACGTGCCTTGCTGATGTTGTAGGTTCGTGTGAGGAGGACGAATTCCATACGCTCAACCTTGAGGAATTGCGGTCGGGATTTTCCGGCGCTGAGGATCCAGGCGAACCACTATAGATAGAATTGTCAGCATGTTCGTTCTCAGGGCTTATGAGAGAAGGAAATGAAGGGTGATGGGGATGTATGCTTGTGAAGAGAAGGTGCCTTGGAGATGGAAAGAATCATCGTCGAAAATACTAACCTCAGCAACATGCGCCATCAACATAACCAACCAAGGAGGGAACTTCCAAACCCGACTGAGAGGAGTAGTATCACCAGCCAACAACCAGTACTTTCGGAAAAAGGTCCATGGTTGAGAAACCTGGTCGTCAGTGATATTGAAAGCTTGGCCATCAATTCTCGGGGCTTTGGGATTGATGTGGCAACGAAGAAGTCCCAAAGCCGCTAATACTTCTGCTTTGGCCACATGACCGACGTAAACAACATCCATATCGACGTCGTTGTAGCCCATCCATATGTTGGTCTGGCCATCTTCGAGGACTTTGATGACTGTTGGTATCATCTGGCTGTCGCCTTCGCCGTACAGGGCTGTTGGTCGGATACATGCTGTGAGAATGCCTATTGTACATACATCAGTATATGCGTGAGAAAAACATCAACGGAGCCTTAAATAGACACGCCAAAAAGCACGTCGGTTGAAAAAAGAGTGTTCCGACATGAGTGATTCACGAAATGTGCCCTCGTAGAAAGTATATGCGGTGTATCGTGATCTTGCCTATTTTTACTTGGACTGAACCCGGAGGAGTAAACACTTCAATCCCCGGGGCTCAATTCTCAAGACAAATACATCTTCTCCAAAAGATTGCGTGCTTCTGTCCCCCACTTGATGATAATACCTAAAGTAAAAGCAAACTTACCATTCTTTCCATTCGCATCAAGAGTGAGCCTATCCCCCAGAGCCTTGGCAACATGATAAGGATCACCCTTCTTCGTAACCGCAAGCGTAGGATGAGTCTCATCAGCATGATCATACGCACCACCCGTACCGGCAATAATAGGAGCACTGGACGTATAAACAAAAGCCTTCACCGTGCCCACCTGCGCAGCAGCATCAAGCAAACACTGGTTTCCATCGACGTTGACCCGAAAGTTGTCACCAGCATGTTCATGGTCGATATAGGCATGTGGAGAAGCGGTGTTGATGATGACTTTGGGCTTCACGAGGTTCATAACATGGTCAACGTGCTGGGGATTGGTAATATCACCAATGTGGTAGGTGACGTCCTCGAAGCGGTTCTTGAATGGTGACCGAGACATTACGGCTATGGAGTCGCATGTTGGCTCTTGGAGGAGGAACTTGACGACGTGTTGGCCGAGAAATCCACAGCCGCCTACGACCAGGACGGTTCCAAGATGTGGCTTTTCAAGGACTTTGGGAATGTCGAGGATATCCTCAGGTGGAGTTCCTGGGGCGTGAGGCATATTGGAGAGATTTTGAATGGTGTCCTGGGAAGCAATGGTTGCTGAATCAAGTTGAGATTATTGCAGAGATTGATGGAACAGAGAAGGAAGAAACAGCGTGGCTTAGGGAGTAGGTAGACGGGTGTTTGTGTTAAGGTTCCATGGAGAAGAAAGAAAGACAGGAGATATGTAAGCAGAAGTAGAGTTTTCAGTCTAAAGAAAACATGGCAAGGTATATTTGTAGTACTTAGTGACGAGTTGCGTTCTTTGGAACTGTTCTTGGGGGAAGCTTGAGCCGAGGGGTACGTAACAGGACAAAAGGCTGGGTGAAGCAAACCTCGCTAATAGTTCAGCCGCTTTGTTTTCAATCCACCCAATCGCTATGTTGAATCGGCCTCTGATTTGCTACATATACATAGTGAATTACTAAACCAGAAGAAGTAACTTGGAAAGCCGAGGCTATCGTCTTCGAGGCTATTAATTGATCAATATTTGGCCTGTAAATCTTGCCGAAAAGAAGCAGCTGTCACAAAATGATTTGTCTCGGGACTATACCTCGAAACGGTGCTCGGTACTTTGCCTGTGGCGTGCATGGTGGAACTTCTAGAATATTTTCATGTTACTACCATATATTAGTATGTTACACCCGTGTTGTGAATGCTGCTGTAAGAACCCATGATCTTGCAGTAAATGACGGAAGCTTTGTCACGGAAAAAACATAAAGATAGAATGACGATTTCGGGCTCGAGTCTTCAACCAGATTGCGGTACAGACTGGAAGACAATTCCATTGAGATCCAGTGGCAAACATGAGCCTAACGAACCTGAACATTTCAGCTTAGGGAAAGTGCCAAGAGGATATCAAAAAGTGAATTAATGGACAAAAGTTGCATATGAAACATTAGTTATGAACGTGGGATCCGGTCGCTTTTCTTTATAAGAACCCATTCTTCGTCACCGCCCTGTGCTTTAGCAATTGGTGGTTGTTCGATCGCGAGTTCCGACGTTTCAATAGATGGGCAATCTAGTACCCCGATAGCTCTTAACGAGTAATCATCTGTCCACCAATCCCCACCAGCTGTAATCATATTAGCATATGTTCTCCAAGTTTCGAATCGTTGAATACGCGTGTTGATCTCGCGGATTGTTGGGCTACGGCTCTTGTGGGAGTCTATTCTGTGGCCCCCGAACCCAGAACCCATCGTCTAGGTATCCCACGAGTGGATTTCCATGAAAATCTGGGACAACCAAGAACTAGCACGTCTTGGCTACTCTAGACTCATTGATACTCGCCAATCATACAATGATATCCATATCTTGTCAATATGACAGAAATACAACTGGCTGGTGATTGGACACGAACACGAGCAAGAAACGAGAGGGGTTCCTGAAACCAGGCTGAAGAAAAAGATACTTACTTCTCCACAAGTCGGGTCCACAGAGGTTGAGATACTCAGGTAGATGTATGTGCCCGAAACTGTTATAGCGGTTTCCAAACGCAGTTATCGAGATGTGATGAGTACCAGGAGTAATTTCACCTAATGACAAGGTACGAGGCTGAAGTGCAATGGTGCCTATCTTGGTATTGGTGTCTATTGCATGGACAGTGACGACCGGACTGCTGAAATTGGAGACTTTCAATGTAGCATTGGACTTTGATGGCGCGGAATAGCTACAATGGTAAGTTACGTTTCCAACATAAAATGGGAAGCCCTGTTCGGCAATATTGCCCCAGGATATATGACCAGGATAGAGAGGACGGAGTGAAGTATTTCGGCCATTGAGATCAACAGCAAAAGAACCGAGGAGGTAGATCCGTTCGATGTTAGTCAGAATGCCGAAAGAAAATTCTAGAATGACGGTGTTGCTGCCTTTTTTGATGGTATTGATTGGAATCTCCAACGCGGTGATAGATTCGTCAACCCAGTAAGGGTTTTCTTTCTCAGAGAAGTGTAAAGTGTAGCCATTTATGGTAACCTTGGTAGTTTTAGCACCTTCCAGTGCTAAAGCTGTACTATCTAATATCTCAAAAGCGGACTCGAAAGTGAATCGCAGCGAGACGTGTGCTCTTGGAGCGCGGTCCTCTTCTGAGATTGTCCAAGGCTGTCTCCAAGCTCCGCCTTTGGGGGGAATATTGAGACGTGAGCGGATGATATTATCAATTCGAAGCACTTCTTCAAGTCCAGACCACTCGCCATCATCAAGCTTGAATTCAGCATAGTCTAACAGTAGCACGTTGGGTTCTGAAAGGTCCAAACTCTCAAGCTTGACATCTAGAGTTTCTGTAGCATGGGCTGCAATCTGTAATGGGCCAGAGATCTCCGGGATTTTGGTTCCATTACTTGGGGTCGTTATAGTAAGATGCTCGAACCCCAGCCCGCTGGTGCTGGTAGGAGACAAGCGGATAAGTAAACTAGCGCAACCTTCAAAATTGTAAGGTAGTATTGTCCATCCATCGGAAACGTGGGAAAGAAGTTTGCTCTCGATTCCAGCCAGTGTGTCCATATTCTCAACCGCCCATTCCCCTTTGAGCTTGATGACTGTTTGCACAGGATTCTCCCTGTCTCTGTTGCACACAAACACGAAGCGAATATCTCCATCCTGCCTTATCTGATGTAACAAGTTATCTGCGGGCACCCCTTGATCATTGAAGATGCGAATCTCACGCCACGGCTCCAGAGAAGAGAGAATGCTGTCACGGCCCCAGAACACGTTTTGGATGTTACCCAACGAGGGGCATGTTTCGGGAACTTTCGCATCAACGAGCTCTGGGGCACTTCCGGCAATAATTACCTTGCCTCCCGCTTTGGAGAATGCTTGCAAAACTTTCAAAGTGGTCGAGCGAATCGTCCGTAGATTTGGTACGATGACAACATCGTATTCGCATGCCCCAACATGTAGTTTCTTTCCGCTGCTGCTGCCCGAAACTTGTTCCGGGAGGAGACTTTCGGCAATAAAGTCAAAGTCCAAGAGACCATGCAGTAACCAGTGGGTAAGATCACCGAAAGCCCGCTCTCTCTCATCTCTTTCATTTCCAGGTCCATTGGGACCCCAGGCTAACCAGTAGCTCTCAATAGGGTGGATGACGGCAATTCTTGTTACAGCCTTTCCTCTTGTCAAGGCTACTCCGACCCTTGCGAAATGGTTCTCAATGTACGAGTACTCTTTAAACCACGGACTTTGATATCCAATGGACGCTGGATAATCTCTCTTACCTTCTCCAGCCATACTTAACCATGTTAAGTGGTGAACTCGAAATGTAATGCCAAGGGCGGCTTGCCAGTCACCGCAGCCTTTGTGATCTTGAAATGTAAAGGTCCAATGAGTGACGCCATATATTTCGCACCTGAGCAGAATGCCAAGTTAGCCAAGTGCCCAAATACACAGCTCAACACTGCGGTGCTGGGGCGGAGAAATAGCACCAAATGATGCTCCGTCTATTCTACTTTTCTAGATCAATCGAAGCAACTGACCCATATCTTTTGGGGATGCTTGAATTGCCCTAGAAGTTTGGAATAGTAAGAGGTTTTCGCGGCTTATTTAATTCCCATAGGATTTCTTACATGGCTCCCCTCAATCCATTCTGTCTTGCTACTGATGAGACCTGAACAATGATTAGACATTTTCGTCTCCCAAAACCTTGACATTGATTTACCTGCTTCGCAGTATTGTATTCCGTCCAGTCGCCTAAATAATTCAGTATGCAGGAGCTGCTTGTTGAAAGGCCATTACAACTTAGCACTTACAAAGTAAATCCATTCCAGGCATCTCCATACTCCTGTAGCAACGCATCGCCTCGCCAATGGCCGAAGTTTGTGAGTAAAGCGTTGGTTCTTCCATCATATGACCATTCAACATGAGCCCATTCTTCTTACACCATTGTGCTATTTGGTCCATGAACGACGATACAAATCTCTCACAGACGTGATCATGAAAATTGTATCGTGACACGCTTGGTTTTCCTTCGGGCAAGTTCCATACCAGTTGAGGGAGATCTTCAATGATATTGGTAGAATAATGCTTCTTCAAGGTTTCTGCCAAGTCCGTTGTCCATGGTAAGAAGACATCTTCTCCAGCCCTGGGATTTGAGAGTGTTGTCTTGATAGCAAATTGTGGTTCATCAGTAAAGATACATGGCACTACTGTGCCAAACTTATCGCCAACCTTTGACTTGTAGACTTCGTGTGTCATTTCTATGAATTTCGCCATGGCATTGGTGCTCAGAGTATCAACGTAGGTTTGGTCGTTGAACCAAGCCGAACCGGGATTTGTTTCTTCGTAAAGATACCAAATGTTAACCCCAGATTCTCCTTTGTTGAGGAGTTTGCTTGACTTTAGACATCCGTTTTCGTCCAGTGTAATGTCATAGGTTGCAATCAGGTGGCCATTCTCACTACGGCAAGCACGCGCAGAGGAGGGAGAACGCTCTCCACCCAAGGGTACTGTGCCGTAGAGATGTGGGGTGAATAACAGATGCTTGCCTTTATGCTCAGGGTATTTCTTCGTCACTAAGCCACCAGCTGCACCGGAAGGCCAGCGATCTTCATCGTAGCTTTTTTGGCTGTATCAGCATGTATTTCCCGAAGAACTAAGGGAGGCACTAACAGGCATGCGAGCATATTCTTGCTTTCAGCGTAGTCCACACAAGCTTTGACCAGCTCCCTACAATTTCGGTTAGAAGTAATTCAAGTGAAGTAGAGGTGGACAGAGACTACATGAATTCATCGCCCAGGTATTCAGTGTCGAGTCCGATGCGAACATGAATATGAAAGCCGCCCAAGCCCATAGCTTCAAAGTTGTCTATCTGTCGAAGTAATTGATCCTTATCGAGCTTTGTATTCCAGGACCATAAGGGACATCCTCTGTACTCAGAAGTAGGATTTTTGAAAAGCTCAGAGCTAAATGGCTGCTTGCTTTGAGGATAACTCAGTGGATTGGCAGGCTTATGTTGACTTGCCATCTTAGCCTTTCCCTGCATAGCAGTAGATGAAATGGAGGAGATGTAGTCCATAATTTGAGGACGGCCGTTCCTTCAAGATACGTTGTTCATACTGGTAACTTTCACGATGACGTTGAATCTGGGAGTGGATTGGAGGCTGAATGAGGCGTGACGTTTCCGCCAAGCGAGTTCTGACAGTAAAAGCAATCACCTACCCTACTGCGGAGTCCGTAGCAGTACTGAAACATGGGGATTCACCTTGAGCACGGAGTAGAAGAATCATAGTGAACCGTCGGGTGAGCCAGTTCATTGCAGTAGCGCATCTGCTTTAATAATCCTTTGGTCTCGAGTTCTCTCTACCTCCATGCCACCTGTGAAAGCCGTTGCGAAGTGCGTAGCACGTGGTCCGGGGAAATAGCACTGCCCAGCAGAGATCTACGGATCTGCAGCGCAGGAAGCTTGAGACTTGGCCTTGGCAGTACTGTAATCGTACGGAGCTCACAACAAACGCGACGCGACAATTCGACCTTTGCAAAAATCGTGAAATCGTCAGCCATGGACGCCAGTGAGTTCCCACTTGCACTTGGCTTCGTTATCTGGTGTCATTTTCTAACACATATCTAGCACGAGAGGAGCGCATGCAGCAAAGACTCCGAGGAAGCCAGTACGACCATCCGAAACACCCCACGAGATCCCACGAATTGACAACTAACACGCGAATATTTTAGGAGACATCAAGTGAAAGAAGTTGATTTTGGCCTCACATTTCCTGTCGTTCCGATACCTGAAGAACCTTCTTCTGCTGGCCCTTCTCGGAGAAGTCCTCGCCTCGAATTGCCCACCCCCATCCCCCTTCAACAAACACCCGGAAACGAGGATACACCAGCACAAGAACCTGCGACGGAAACAGTCAATGCATCTCTTAAGAGGGGGAGTAACAATATAGATGCCAATACATCCGCGAAGAGGAGGAAACTTGACACAGACGACCCTCGGTCATCTGGGAGCAGAAGTACACGATCTCGACCTCAGTCCATACCGGATGCCTTCGAAACTCCTGGGGAACCTCTCGAAGAGGAACCTCGAGATAATTTGGCCTCAGACGGCTCAGCCAGCATCCATACGGAGGCGTCCCCCGTACATGTGTCTTCGCCAGATCTGGGGTTGCCTGAATCTGTGTCCCGCTCTCGGGTTGAAACGACGCCTGTGATGGATTCTAGGGTCCAAGAAGTTAGTGAAAGTCCAGTTGATGCGCCCGGTAGTGGTCGTAGAAAAATTACAGATGTCACGAGTTCCCAGGTGCATCCAACAAAGAGTAGGACACCAAGTCCAGTCAAGCCGAAGACAACCCCAGGTTCGCGGAGGAAGAGTCAGAGAGAGGAGGTGGAGGCCAGTCCTTCCGTTCATGATGATTCGTTCGATCGGAATGAACTTGAGAACGACTCCTCCGTCGTTGGTATTGCAGAATCTTCCCCCACCAAGCCCAGAAAAAGAGCTCGAAAGCAAAATGTCACAATTTCTGTCCCAGAAGAGGAACAAGATGGTGAAACATCAAACCAAGAGGACGAGGAGGCCGAGGCTATTGGAGATGTTGAGGCCGCTGCTATACTGAGGAAGCATCAGGGTCGAAGAAGATCTCGTAACATTCCAGCACCATCTCCTGACCTCGATGAAGCGGAGCAGCGACAGACCAAGCCCGCAAAAACTCGTAGAAAACAGCCAGCGCCAGTGGTAAGTCCAGCCGAGAAACGCCAACCACGACCACAGCCCAAGGTGGTTTCAAAGGTGGTTAAGAAAAGTGTTGCAAAATCACCCAAGAAGCCCGCCAAGGGAGCCAGAGTTCGGATGGGCAGTCCAATCCCGGTTACAGTGTACCGCCTTACAAGCAAGCCCGCTTACGATGACGAGGATAGCGACTATGAAATACCAGTGGACAAGCGGGCAGGTATGAACACAGTAGATGTGCTTGGTCAGGTTTGCCAGGAGATAATATCATCGGGATCAGCCTTCATCGAAAGAAGCGCGGAAAACGCCATTGATTCCACTCAAAGGAGAGAGTGTAGGAATAAACATCGTGCTTTAAAAGTGTTTGGTGAAGAATTGCACTTGCGGCTCTTGACACAGGTACTTTCAGCCATCCACACATTTTGATTCGTACTAACAGTAGCTAGCAAACAACCCTTGATAATACATTTTCTCTCGAGAAACGTGTTCGAGAGGAACAGAGGAAGAAGTTGTCACTTCGTGAAGAGATCCGTCTCGCTCGAGCAGAACGCCAAGAGGTGGCTTTCCGTTTGGATGAAGTAAGAATTAAACATGAAATGGAAAGCAAGCATGCTGAGGTACGTATATTTATTACATTCTACCAAGACATCCTGACTAATCGACCTCAGGGAAATCACGAACTCAATCTGGCAATGCATGATGTCGAATTAGCTGTCGATCACGGGAGAAGCCATTCTCAAACAGATAACAATTCGAAGAGTGGTGTCGAAGTATTGCTGAAACGCGTAGCTGGTCTCGTCAGCAAAAAGGGCGGTTCTGGTGGTATTTTGGAGCAGATTAAGAACTTCAATGGGTTCTTGGAGAGGGCCGCTTCCGCACTGGAGTCGAAAAAGAGTTAGGAATTTGTTTACGGCCACAGGAACGGATTGATTGATACCCATGAACGATAGAATTCAAGTTATTTGACTGCATTGCGCTTTTTTGTTTCCAAGTATCATGTCCAGCACTGGTTTTTGAAAGTCGTTCTTTATTCATTGCTCATAAATTATTTACTACCCATCACTATATACCCCACCAAACCAAACTCGCTAACAATATCATAGAATCCCCTTAAGCACCCTCCATCCATCCTCTCACACTCCCTCCAATCCCGCCTACTCAAAAACAAAAAATCATTCATTTCATTCCTCATTCCTCATTCATATTCACATTACACCATCATCTACACCACCATCCACCACCTCCATCTACAACATAACCAAAATCACACACACACTCACCAACCCGACAACAGGACTTCCTCCCAGCTTCCCCGCCGCGGCACCTGTGAACCGAGCCGTTGGCAAGGTCGGGAACGTGGTGGTTGTTGGAGTCGGGAGAAGGGTCGTGAAGGGGATTACGGTTGTGCAGATGGGTTGGGTGCATAGGTAGGGTCCGGAGTTGCCGATCCACTGGTTTTATTAGTATGCCATTATCTTCATCTTCATCCATCTATCCATCATCTGTATCTAGGGGGTAAGGGAAAAGGGGAAAGGGAAAAACAAACCGTCGTAGTATGATCCGCTCCCAAACCCGGATTCAACCCAGGGTTCTCCGGCTCCTTTGGCGTACCCGGAACGAAAGGCGTAACCGCCGGCGGACCGGGATCCGGATAACTCTCATGGGTATACGTGTAGCTATCCGGATTCAGAGTTTGTGGTGTGTATTCGGCTGGTGGTAATGTTGGGAGGAGATAGGAGATTGGGAGGGTTGGGTGGGTGGGCGTTGGGTCTTCGTGAGATGGTGGCTCGTGGAGGTTGGGGTTGGGGTTTGGTTCTAGGTTTGGGTTGTCGTAGGAGTAGTGATCGGGTGAGGGTTTGCAGGGCTTGTGGGGGGTGTAGGGGG